CAGCCCCCTCGCTGCCCCCCAGGCTCCCCCCCCAACCCTCCGCCGCCACCCGGTACCTGTGGGGGGGGCCATGCCGGGGTTACCGGGAGTCCCCGCTCTGCTGACGAGGCCGGGACAAGACCGCGCCGGCCCCACGCACAGAGCATGTGCCCCAGCCATAGAGACAGGCAAGAGAGAGTGGCCGCGCCGAAGGATTCTGGGAGAGTGGAGGACTGGGCCGCTCTCCCCTTCCCTTTCACCCCATCCGGGACGCGGGGAGCGGCCCATCCGCTCGCATACGGTAAAACCCCATCCCTGCCCCGGCGCCTCAGCCTCGGCGGCTGCGGGAAGAGCCCACGGACCCGGGAACGGGAGCGGAGCCCCGCCGGGAGCAGCACCCCGCACCGGGTCTCCCGCCCGCCCGTTCCCATAGCAACGCCGCCTCTCGATGGTTAAAAACTAGGGAGGAGCGACAGCCGCGCTTCCGCCCTCCAACCCCGCCCCCGAGCGGCGCAGCCTGCACATGCGTTGAGGACTCCGCGCCTGCGTTGTCACCGCCTCCCCCGCCCCGCCCCGGCCATATAAGGGAGGGGCGGGGGCGGGTGGTGGCTGTCGGTAGCGCAGGCGCGCCCGGGGGGGACTAGTGCGCAGGCGCGGTGGGCGGGGCGTAGCGCATGCGCAGTGCTGAGCCCGCCCCGGCTGAGGAGAGGGTCGGGGCGCCCGGTGAGCGGGGCGGGAGGGGCGGCCGGGGCGGGCCCGGGGTCTGGGCCTGCTTCCCCACGGAGAGCCGTCTGCTTCTGGTCCTGGTGGGGATAACGGCCGGGCTGGGGGTCGCGGTGGGGCCTGACGCTTCCCTCGTCCGGAGTCCGGTGTGGGCCGGGCCCGGGGCTGTGGCGGGATGTCTGCGGGCTGCGGGCCCCTTCTCCTGTCCGGGAGGGAGAGTCCAGCTGGTGATTCCGTCTTCTCCTCACGGAGTGGGGTTGCCCTGCCGGGAGCGGGACGGTGGCTCGGGGTCTGCAGTGGCCCTCAGGCCTGTCTCCCTCCCGCCTGCCTGGGGGTACTGGTGGGGCATTGGGGCAGGGGCCCGAGGGTACAGGAGAGGAGAGGTGCTTTCCTCCTCTCTGCCGGCCCCCGGAGCGGGGAGGTGGTCTGTGGGCTCTCTGGCCTCGCTTGTCACTGGGGCTGGGAGCCCAGCACAGGCAGACACAACAGCATCTGCCTGCGTCTGGGACCGGTGGGATCTCTGGTGTATTGCAGTGGGTTGGGGCTGGCTTAGCTCTGCTGGGCTCTCTTTCAAAGAGTTTGCATTTAAACAATTTCTCTGTTAAATCAGCCTGAATGGTTTTCTGTCCTACAAAGCCAGTTAAGCGTTCTGGAGAGGCAGAGCACTTCAGTGCAGCTTACAGGACCTGCAGCATCAGCGTCTCTGGGAAGCTCCAGCCTTGGGGTGTGCTTATGGGGGTTGCTTTGCTGTGGGTCCTCACTCTTCTTTACCATCAGTAGGCTGGCAAGCAGCGCAGAGGATTGGCAGCCCTGAACCCCAGCTCTGCTAATACTGGCAAATTGCTTCAGCCCTTGTTTTTGTTTCAGAATCAAATTATGCTCTGGAAGCAGGAGACTCTCGTTTCTTAGTGATTAAGTCCTCTGTGTTCCGTTTGCCTAGTCCTGGTCAGTCAGAGACATTTTGGTAGCCTAAGTGCCTGCAACACCTTTGATGTATTTCCCTTGGCAGGAGCCTTGTGGGGCAGGACTGTGCTGTGCAGCTCACACTCAAGAGGGTGAATTGAGGCCCAGAGAATTTATGTAAAGGGGGTTGTGGTTGCAGCAGAGAGTTTAATGAAGGCTCTGGAGGCCTTGGCTGATCCTGAACAACTTCCTTATCCTCCATGTTCATACTGGGGGAGGGCAGCAGAAAAGCTCTTGGACTTCTTGTCCATCATATAACTTCTCTCTCTACAGATTTTTTTTAGAGTTACAAGAAGTTGAAACAAACTGCTCACAGCCTCCCAGAATGGCAGACCAGAAGCGCCTTGCCTACTCCATCATCCAGTTTCTACATGATCAGCTACAGAATGGGGGTCTGTCTCCAGATGCTCAGGAGAGTTTGGAAGGTTGGTGGTTGTATGCACTTCCCTGTTCATGCGTCTAGGTCTGTCAGCTCAACACTTGGTGAAATTTGGACACTGTTACTCTCCTGCTTCTTTCTTGGCTGGGCTGTTCTTGACATCAAACCTTGCTCAAGATTTGAAATCAGTTTGTCTTCTTGGGGAGCTATGCAGGGCATTAGGGATGCTGATTTCTCATTATCTCTTTCAAAAGCAGATTAGCTTGAGGAAGGGATATACCTGGGATCAAAAGCCTCTCTGACCCTTGGTTTGAGACAAGTTTTATCTTAAATGAGGTGAAGTCAGAAGGCTTGTAGTGTAAAATGAGAACTTTACTGTTGTATGGAAGTGTTTTATGCTTGCAGAGTGCCCTTCCCGTTGTGCTATCAAAATGCTTTTCCACAGCATGCCCTGGAGTATTTATACAGGCTTTTTCAGAGGGCTTCACTGGTAACAAGAGCACGCTGCTGTTAAAAGATCTACTTAAGCAGCTTATGGTTTAGTCTTTGGCTTGTACGTTTGTCCCACTGAAAGAGAGCACAGGCACGTCTGCAGAGTGGTGGGTACATTCCTGGGCAAGGCAGGAATGGAGAGAGAGCAGGAGGAGGGTGTTGGCTGGAAGGAGGGGTTTATTCCTGGTGCTTTTGGACTGTAAAATGTGGCATGAGAGCTCTGTAAAACTGAGTTCTGTTGTGTCACTGGGGTTCCTCTCTGTGCTGAGAACAGCTTCCTGACCTGGTGCCTGATGAGGGAGGAGGTGGTTGGTTGGTGTCCACGCACCTCTGTGTGGCCACAGTGCTTCACAGAGCAGCCACCCTCTAGCAAGTGAAACATGCAGATCTCTTCCTGCTCTGTGCCACCCATAGCTGTGGGAAGGCTAGTAAAGCCCCAGTTTGGTTAACTTCTACTCCCAACACCTGATCTGGAGTCACCTGAGGGGCTGGGAGTTGTGACTGACTCAGTCCAGAAGCTTGATCTCCAGAACTAAGGTTTGCCCAGTTCTGAGGTTTTGGCAAAATTCAAGGATATGGTCCAAATATCAAGTCTGGTGTGTGGAATTGCATGGGTTAGGGTGGTGGGTTTTTTCCTGGTATGTTCAACAGTAAGAAATTCAGGTGCTATGGGAGGAGGCTAAGTATATAGATGGGGTGGGGAAAGCTAATTACCTGATTCTTCCTGTCCAGTGGCCATCCAGTGCCTGGAGACAGCATTTGGGGTCTCAATGGAAGATCAAGGCCTAGCTGTGTCCCAGAGTCTTCCTGAAATATTTGAAGCTGCTGCAGGAAAGGTGAGCGAGTGCCCTAAAATATGTGCTGAATCTCCATTTAAGCAGCCAAAGCAATGAGCTCTGCTTGATATCTGTGGTGATGCTGCCCCCTTGGAGGCATGTGGGAGTGAAATGTTTTGGGCTTGACGAGCCAGCGCTTGTGAAGGGGGAGGTGTGGTACATCTCAGTGGGAGTCCTTATCACAGTGTTCTCCCTTTCCTTGTAAGGAGCCTGAACACATCAGAACAAATTCGGAGCCCATCACCCCCTCTGAAGATGACATAGCTGAAGCTGAAAGACTCAAGACTGAAGGTAACCTCCTCTGGAGCTGGTGTATAATGAGGTTTAGATGGTAATGGGGAGGGAGACTTAATTCTGGGGAATGCTTGGAATGGGGAAAAAAGCAAATGGGATCAACCTTTCCATTTCTGCTTGTTTCTCTGCTTGTGCTCCAGGAGCGTGTGTAGGTTGGCATAATTTAGCTGCCACGGAGCCTAGACAGACAGCTGGGTCAGCATTTTCTTTTGCATCCTAAGAAGCCTGTGCTGTGTAGAACAGGGCATCTTTCCTGTTGAGCTCTCCTCTATGTGTCGCCTTTTCTCTGCCATGCAAGAGAGCATGATTAGTGCTGAAGTACAATGGAGAGCTTTCTCTGAGCCAACACACTGCAGTGATTTTCAGGATGCAGTACTGCTTTGGGGAGGCCTCAGGTGCGCCTGAGGTGGGAGGGGAGCTGGTGGGATCAGGCAACCTGGAACTGCCAAGATGCAGGTCCCCTACCTTGCTGCCGAACAAGCCTCATGCTTGCAAGCAGTTTACTTGACCAGCAAAAGCTGCAAATGGTTGGTTGCTCTCTTGTTCTGTTTTCTTAAGTAGAACATAGATCCAGGCCTGTTGTTTTTGTTTGTCCCCTTTTTTCACTTGTTAATGAGCCTTTCTGCTATCTTTTTAGGAAATGAACAAATGAAGGCAGAAAATTTTGAAGCTGCTGTGTCTTTCTATGGAAAAGCAATTGAATTAAATCCATCCAATGCTGTGTATTTCTGCAACAGGTACTGATTATCTTTCTCCACCCTTGTACACCTGTGTTTGTTCTTACTACTTAGGTCTAAGACTCTTGAATGATCAAAATCCCTTTTTTGTGATTCTGTAGACTGCTTGTTCTGTTGCTTGCTCTTTGTGTGGGTTTTTTTTTTAAGCTCATAGTGACACACTTCCCTGTGCCTCCTTGCCAGGTCTGTGCCCTGGCATCTCTAGATAGGATGTGGGTGTGGAAACAAACTCTACTGGGCATTTGAGGAGATATAAGGATGCCAAGAAATACTGCCTGCTTTCATGCAATTAACTGTTAAGTGGCATAGACACCCCAGGTTTGAGAGGCTGTGTTAATAATAAAAACAAAGGAGTTAAATGAGACAAGTTGAAGGCTTGTTATTGAGAATTATATAAATTGATGTGTGTGCAAAATTGGGTATGCAAGCGAATTTCCTATTTTTCAGTTCTAAGCAAAAGTATCTCAAAGTTGGTGGAAAGACAACTGTTGAATAAAACAGATTTTGAATCAGGATTTGGTTTAGTTATGTGCTTATTGTGAGTACATACGTACAGCTGGCTACATGAATAACTTGTCTGTGCACATGCTAATGACATGGTGAGGTATTTCTTGGGGCAAGGAACTCCAGCTGGTGCTTTAGCTAAGTTTTGCTTTAGCTGCATGAGGGTCAGTCCCATGAGGTTTTGGGCAGGTGCCCCTCAATAAGAGTTGTGAGACTGAGGCTTAAATGAGCATGCTATGGCTTCAAAACCAGTTTTCCCTCTTATGTGGAGTGTGTGGGGAAATGGATGAAATGGTCATTATGACTAAAAAATCAAGTCATAAGGGAAGCTGAGAGAGATTGTCTGAGCCAGCAAGTGTGACACTTGCATGCCTCCCTGGAGCCCAGGTTCCTCTTGGAAAGTCCGTAAGGAGAAGAACCTAGATTTATTTGCAGTAGGAGCAGAATGTGGAGCTGAGTGTTTGGATAGCAGCCTGCTTACCTAGATATGGCCTGGATTTATGTCAAGTTTACACTTGACTTTGCCTTGTACAACAGGAGACTACAGAGAGGGAACAGGGGTGACCTTGATAAGCATTTTCAAGCTGATAAGTCTTTTCTGCACATCTTTCTCTATTCCCTCCAGAGCTGCTGCATACAGTAAACTAGGAAATTATGCTGGAGCAGTGAGAGACTGTGAAAGAGCTATAGGCATTGATCCAAACTACAGCAAAGCTTATGGCAGAATGGGGTAAGTAAGAGCAGGTTTTTTGTGCCAGAATTTCAATCTCAAAGCACCTAGTGGCAGTGATGCTATCAGTGGCGTTCTGCCCCGGATTGCTGTGCAAAAATACCTAGTGTTTCACCTCTGTGGGGGGTGGAGGAAGACTGCAAGTGCTTATCTAACTCTGACTTTATTTTATTTCCACTTTAATAGCTTGGCCCTCTCCAGTTTAAACAAACACACAGAAGCTGTTGTTTACTACAAAAAAGCCCTGGAGCTGGATCCAGACAATGACACATACAAATCAAACCTTAAAATAGCTGAACAGAAAATGAAGGAGACTCCTAGTCCAGTAAGTTCTGAAACTAATGCTTGTTATATGTGGGTAAGATTAGGAGGCTTCTTCACTGTAAGTGCTAACAGGTACTGTCTGGCAGAACCCTGATGACCTGGGTTGTGTTTAGAATGCAAATCTTGTATGCAGACAGAGGGGAGATAGTTAATGCGTCCTGCTGTGAACATTTCCGCTAAAATCCAGAGAGGGTAACTTCTCTTCACTGCCTGAGCACAGTAACCTTGGGCTTATTTGAAAGAGCTGGAAAATGAGACTGATTAGAAGGGAGTGTTTTGAAACAGCAGTTTTGCCTTAAGCACCTTTCTTAATTAAAGTTGCTACTCCTAAAATCCAGCTTTTTTTTTTCTAGTGACCTGTTAGCAATACCAAAAGAGCACTTTGGGTGGCTTTTTTTCTTACAAAGATTATTTTCTTAAGAAACCTGGAGCCAAAAAGCTGGTGACTGCACTGCTGACCTGCTCTGTGCAGGACCATGTTAATTTATCATTTTGAAGGGGATTTTAATTTTCTAAAGACTTCTCCAGTGCAAAGGTGACCTAGTGGATGTGTTTAATTTGGCAATTGTAATGGGTTACAGCTGTATATTGCTACTGTGGCTCAGCTGGTGAGAGAGGTGATCAGTAAGTCATGTAATGCAGACATCTGCCCTTTGACTCCCTTGGTGAGCCTAATCCTCTGAGGCTGTCTGTGACTTGGAGCTTTACAGGAAGGGTATGGGCAGAGCATCTTCCCTTTGTTGTGGTTTAAGGGCTGGATTCTGATAACACTGAGAGTAAAGTATTAATGTTCATTGTAATGTGCATCAGGAAGTGAGAGGATGCATCATCTGCGTGCGGTTTCTTTATTCTTACAGACTGGAGGTCCAGGAGGATTTGATTTAGCTGGCTTGCTGAACAACCCGGGCTTCATGAGTATGGTAAATTTGGACACAGATCACAGCCAGGCTGTATAGTCTGCGCCTTGGTCTGTTCAGGATGAAATGTATCAGTACATCGTGTGGGGAGCTCCTGTGTCTCTTAGCAGATTTGTTTTCATTTCATTTCTTGGTTTCAGTGTTGCTGTGTGGAAACTGTGCTTGTATTTCATTAAGGTCAAGTGAAGACCCAGTGACTTATTCACAGGCTTCTCCTTGTGATATGGTGGATGTGGAAAGGGTGCCTGTTCTGCATTACCAGCCTTGTCTTGTGTGTTGCACTGTTCTTCTCTTAGCTATTTTTGTCCTATTGATCTGTTTCAAAAGTATTTTTGCCTTCACATTGTTTGTAGTTGAATGGCACAACATCTGCATATCTACCCAGTCATTTCTGATTAAATAGGGTGTCATTTTTTCTCCCCTCTTTAAATAGGCATCTAACCTAATGAACAATCCACAAGTACAACAGCTGTAAGTTTGATCCCATCTTGTATTTCCTCTTTGAATCACTCATTTGAGGCTCTCGTGTTTGGCATTTGTAGTAAGTCTGAACTAGTGGGAGCAGGAGGGTGCTTGGGCCAGAGTATGGAGGGCAGCCTTTAAACCAGTCCAGTTGCCTGAGCTAGCATGTATTTTGAGTACTCCGGACTGTGCTGAAGAGGGATCTTGGTATAAACATTTGCAGAAGGGAGGCAGGATAGATTGTGGTGCTGGAATAGGGTTTGGGAAGCTTGGGGTCAGTTTGGCTCTGCACAGTGTTTATGTGATCTGGAGACAGGATTTCACAGCTCCATTTCTATTAGAATGAGAATATTTCTATTCTTTGTGCTACAGGGTTATGAGGATCAATTCCCAAAGTTTGTGAGATGCTTAGATAATATAGTCATAAAATTAATAAGGCATGTACATCTCTGTTGTGGTTTAACCCCAGCCAGCAACTAGGCACCAAGCAGCTGCTCGCTCACTTCCCCCCTGACTTGTGGGATGGGGGAGAGAATTGGGGGGGGGGGGGGGGGGGAAAACTCCTGGGTTGATATAAAGGCAGTTTAATAGGATGGGAAGGAAGAAAATAATAATGAAGATAATAATAGGATTGGAGTATACAAAACAAGTGATGCACAATGCAGTTGCTCACAACTTGCTGACTGATGCCCAGTTAGGTCCTGAGTGGCAGTCTGCCCCCCCCCTCACCCCCGGCCAACTCCGCCCGGTTTATATACTGGGCATGATGTCACATGGTATGGAATATCCCTTTTGGCCAGTTTGGGTCAGCTGCCCTGGCTGTGTCCCCTTCTAGCTTCTTGTGCCCCTCCAGCCTTCTTGCTGGCTGGGCAGGAGAAGCTGAAAAACCCTTGACTTGGTATAAACTCTACTTAGCAACAACTGAAAACATCAGTGTGTTATCAACATTATTCTCCTACTAAATCCAAAACATAACACTATACCAGCTACTAGAAATTAACTCTATCCCAGCCAAAACCAGGACACTATCCTGACCATCCTTCTAGAGCACAGGTAGGCAGTGAGTTAGAGACCTTCTGGAGCACATCCTTTGATTACCATGTGAGATAATTTGGCTAAAGGGCTGAATGTCAGCTGCCACTTCCATTTGCTTCTGCCTGTTCTTTCCGCTGCTGTTGCCAGCTGAGGTTCTGTGCCAGATGCAGCCTGAGGACTTCCAGAGGAAAGGGCTATGTAGACCCAGTGTGTTCTGGGCTGCTCACCATGAGGGAATCAGTGTTGAGGCTGTCCTGTCAGTAGATCTTGTTTGATGCAAAGCAAGCAAATAGCTTGTGTGAGGAAGGGCAGTGTTTTAATTAAACATAACACAGGGTTTGCACACAAAAGGGGGAATCTCTGGGAATATGGTAACTGATGCTATTATAAATATTTCTGCATATTGTGCAGTTTAAATGTTTATTCTTCTGTAGTTAATGAACAAAAAGTTGTTGCAGAAGATTCCCTGGCAGATAACTTCATGATCTGTGTGGGAAAGTGCTCCCATTACACTGATGTTCCCTTCCTAGTGTAAACCAAACGATTTCTCTGGTTTTTTTCCTGCTCTGAGCAATGACTCTTATTTCCACAGCATGTCTGGGATGATTTCTGGTGGCCACAACACCATGGGAGCAGCAGGCACCAGCCCCTCCACGAATGATCTTGCCAGCCTCATACAAGCGTGAGTAGAGAGCTGGGTGTTTCCCATTGCCTTGATTAGTAAATGGATGTGGGGTTTTTCTGACCAGAAGTGGAACCTTAATTTAACAGTTGAGAAAGGCAGCACTTCACCCAGCATTTAAGCCTCTTTTGGTGATGTGAACTGCTTGCTAGAGTTTTGACAGTTGGCTGTCAAGAATTTCCTAGCACCAGACTGTGTTAGAGTGAGTGTGAGTACACTAATAGGACTGTTGCTTGTTCTCCTTCAGGGGCCAGCAGTTCGCTCAGCAGATGCAGCAGCAGAATCCTGAACTAATAGAGCAGCTACGAAGCCAGATTAGGAGTCGAACTCCAAGTGCCAGTAATGAAGATCAGCAGGAATGAGCACTCCAGGTGAGGCTGTAGCTGGGAGTGCTGCTGTACTGTGGCCAGCTGAGTGGGAATTTAAGTATTTGGCTGCAATATTTGTCTTGTGCCTTAATTTAGCAATTTGGTGTGTCTCCCCTCTGTACAGACTGGGTTCTCTGCATCAGTACTGCTAGTACTGTGCCTCAGATGCAAGGCTTAGCCCTGAGGAGTAGGGAATAGGAACTTGCCTCACACATGGTGTGACTGACAAATGAGTTTCATTATCTAGTGTTCATGGTGGTTAAAGGGACACTTTATTTTCTTAAAGATTGAATTTGCAAATGTCTTGTCTTCCTGTCTCTGCAGCACAGTCCGTGGGAACTATGTTCTTTGCTTTAAAAACTGGAAGCCATGTGTGTGTTGCCATTTCTTGAGTTGGAAGTGTCCAAGAGGGGGAAAAAAAATAATGGAAAAACAAAATACTTTATATGACCTGCATGTTAAAGACAGATTCACGCTTTCTTTCCCTAGTCTTCGTTCCTGCTCCTCCCCCTCAGCCTTTCCATTAGTCTTTTTTTCTTCTGGAAGATCCAGCAAGCTGAACACAAACCAGCATCAACAGTCTTTCTAAAGAAACTCAGAAAATTAACTACACTATTACATTTCTATGTTATTTGCTACATGGGAATTTTTTAACCCGTTTTTGAAGAACGATGCACTCTTCACTACAGGATGTCTTCACTTTCCTGCCCACGTGCCACTTCAAAGAAGTGTTCAAGTCCTACCTAACCCCCGTCCTGCCGCGTTTAATCTTCCTGCCAGTTACGAGATGGTAGTGTTTGAACACTCTGGAGATCACAGGATCTTCTTGCCTCCAGGAACAGGGTTTCTGTTGATTAGATTGACTGCGTTTCTCATTCAGGTCTGTAGCAACGTTGCCAGTGTTGTTAATACACAGGAGTTTGGTGCTCACCTCTCAAAGGTTAGTGTAAATGTGTTGGGGGGGAGGGGGGTTGGGACTGGCCAGGAAGAACATGCCCATGTGCAACTGCTCCTTTAGTGAGTGTTTCCTGGTACGCTTCTTGGGGTTCTTTCCCAGTCCTGACAAAATTTGTCTAGTGTTTAGTAATTATGGCTATGTTGTTGGAATGATCCAATCTGTGAACTAGTCAGGTGGACAGTAAGAAAGATATGATGTTTTTGGTGTTTTAAAAGGTTTTTTTCTTCTGCTTTTTTAATCTGTCTTTTATGCATGTAAGTAATCAGCCTGGTTGACTGTGCTAATGGTAGGATTAGAGGGCGCCTGAGTAGGGAGCAGAAGGAATAAAAATGCTGCTTGGATAGTCAGAAATCAAGTGTTTGCTGGTTCAACGTGGGGGATCGGTGAGGAGCCGTTATGCCTCGGCATGTAGTGTGTGAGATGAGGGAAAAGCTCCTGTAGCCAACTCAAGTGACCCGCAGCTTTCAGCCCCTCTAGAGTTACCCGTGTCCTTCCCTGGGTGAACAGAGGGCTCTGGCCAGCTCCCCTAGAAGTTGCTAGTTGAGGCCAGAGACTCTTATATCGACCTCAGAATTGTTTTTCAAAGTAGTTATTCGATTGTGGGGGGGAAGGTGTGTTCATGGCCTGACTGCTGGGCAAAGAGCATCTGGTCTGAGGGTGGGTAGGTGTGAGATGGAAAACGCCCTTTCAGGAGACCTGGTGGTGTGAGTGAGCAGGTATAATTGAAGATTAATATCAAGGAAAAAAATGATTTGTAAATGCTCCATAAAGTAATATGTGGTTAATGTAACTTGTGAAGAATAAAATATTTGGACACTTTCTTTGTTATCCCTCTTGCCCAGGTGACTGAAGAAAGACCCGTGTGCCTGGGGCCAGCTCGGGCGCATGTTGGGCTGCGGTGCCTGTTTCCAGCGCTGCTGACCCCAGAGGCTTGTGCAGGGTCATCCCTCGGGGCTGGGGCCACTGCCAGGCACAGCCTACAGATGGGTTTTATCTGCCTCTTCCAGTTTTTTTGCATTCTTTCCTGCTGAAATGCTCCCCCTGTGTATTTCTGCAGGACAGAAATAGGAAATCTTTCTTTCCATTTCTGCTTCCCCTACTCCCTTTAAGTTCTCTCTGGCTGTTTTTTGTAACCTAACAAAAGGACAAGTTTCAGACTATGGGACAGCGTGGAAAGAGTTCAAGAATTGTCCAAAAGGAGGAAATGGCAGGGATGTTTGTTTTTCCTCCCTTTTCAGGTCATTTTGGTGCTGTTTTCTTTCCTTACCCTGCTTGTTCTTTTGTAGCTATAGCTCTATCTCTTCAAGCCTCTCGTTGGTTTTCTTTTTATACCACGGAGTCCAAGGAGCAGCTCTCCAGGGGAAGCTCTCCTGCTCCAGTAAGGCGCTGGCCGGTCCTTGATGGAGGACCGGCGTTTTGGTGGCTGCGGCTCTGGGTACAGCTTGCCCTGCTGTGGCTGAACTCGAAGAGGGGAGCTGGCAGCCTGCTTGAGGCAGAGAGGGTTTCCTTCTGAACTCCCACATCTCCTAACTTTGCTGACAGCAAGAAAACTGATATTTTTTTAGGCTCACTTCTGCTCTCCCTGGGGCCTTCTGCGCTATTCTAACCAAATTGACGTGTTTCTTTAACTAAAAGCAGCCGAAAACCTGCAGGAATAGGGGATGTAGCGGTGGAGGATGCTCTTCCTTGGCCGTGGGTCTCCTCCGCCGGTTTGGCCGCCTCCCTCCCAGCCGTCCCGGGACAGCTCCGCGGGGCCTCCCGTGCCCCGGAACCCGTCGTCCCGTTCCGTGTTTCCCGCGGGCATTATTCGGCGGCTCCCCGCGAACACCGAGACACCGCCAAGCGTGGGCGGGCTGAAGGGCGGCTCTCGCGGCCAATGGGCAAGCCGGACTTCCCGTCGCGGCCAATGGGAGGGCGTCGTGGGCGGGAGCGCGTTGCGGAGGCTGCCTGGACGGGGTCGCGAGCGGGAGCCGGCGCGTGAGTGGATGGGGGGGGGGGCCGTTGCCGGGGGAACG